TAGGTACATAGCGCCAACACTTGAACTCGGTAAAGTGTTGAATATATTCTGCTCACCCAATTGACCCACAAATATTAGACTCAGACTCACAGATTGCCACAAATTTCTGCTTTTGCTCAACGCTGTGAAAAGGTACATGAATGAGTGGGTATACAATGTGCCTGGGTACTCACACACATGTGTGTGTGTGTGTGTACATACATACCCCGACAACTTTTTCAAAGCAAATAAAGCGTAGTGTAGAACAAATAAACTTTTGCTTCACATACATAAAAACACATGTACTTATGTTTGTGGTACATAGTGGAACATATGAAATTAGGTCAGTACTGTGTCGATGATCCTTTGGATGGCGCTCGGCTCTTGCTCTTTTGTTTTTGTTTTTGCTAGCTTTTGCATTCATGGTATTGCTTTCCACAACAAACACTAAACTATACGGACATGCAGACCAATACAGTTTACATTTAACAAATGTGTATGTGTGTGTGTGTCGTATCAAGCAAAACCAAGGTACGCTAGCATTTATGGTATGAATAAACTTAAATATTATGAGCGCTATACAAACACATTCACACACACATGTAGGCGCCATCAATAATGAGCACACACATATACATAATTGTATATATAATATTTGTCATTATAATCACCATTGAAACGGTGGAAGACATAGACTATTAGCGCTGAGCCTTTGAAATTCAATAACAAGCAAACCGTCGAGGCAAAAGGTGAAATTACGAAATCAGTACATGCAAAACTCCATTCAGCGCACATTACAGCTCTATCAGTGTCACAAAATATTCTTTATAATATAATATTTATACTTACATATCTGCGAGTGTGTATTAGCGTCTTCATTGTAAAATCGGTCTAGGCAAATGCCACGCCAACATTGACTAACCCGCAATTTGTGGCGACAGTTCATTGAGTATACGCCTTACATATACTTATGTACATGCATACAAAAATATACTCACAGCCACCCGGCAGAGAAAATCCGAACTTTCATAATAATCTTCAGCCTTTGCAACAGTACATCATGTTTACTAATAAGATAGAGTGGGTAACCCTAGAAAATGCGAAGATTACTAATGGATATTGGAGAAAAATTCCATTTATTAGGAAAGTCTGATCTTTAGGTTTTTATATACTACTTACTAACTAGGAACGTTAGACCCTTTGAAAACAATTGAATTTTAATGTAAATATCTACGAACAAACCTGACGAATATTCAATGTGGTAATTATTGTTAAATTATTTAAGTGTTGGACATCTATTTATTTTACGTAGTATATTTCTGCTTATTATAAGAGCTGTAGATCTTACTAAATAAGCGCGCTGTATTGATGAATGGAATAAAAGCTTAATTTGAGTGAAGGAGTTATATTCACTTATAAATTTGAAAAAAATCGATTTTTTTCCTTGAATATCGAATGCAGATACTTTTGAGAAATTGAATATATACTTGTATATAAATTTAAATATTATATTATATTTTTTCGTGAGGAAAATTTCCTTTAATATGGCTGGACCCATACACTTGAAATTTATCTGCGATCTTCTTAGATATATTTGTCAAGTAATGATCGACGGAATAATATTTTTTATAATAATTTCGGTTTTTAAGCCGCTCTGAAGTGTACATTTTTTCACAAACATCTACATTTTATTAGGGAAGTCGCATTTTTCCAAAAACCAATATTTTGACTAGCATCATACATAAGTAAGTAAGTAACGGCATTAAAGACAAAAAAAAAAACAAGAAAAGGTGGACAATTTATTTGGCAGCTATTGCTTTAGTACTCCCTTCTAACCAGTTTGTTCGAAAATTGTAAGATTTGCCTTGGACAATAATCTATGCAATACAAGGACTTGATCGATCAGTTTGTATGGTAGCTATATCGTATAGTGGTCCGACATCGGCAGTCTCGACAAATGAGGAGCTTCTTACGGAGAAAAGGACTTGTGCATATTTTCGATCGATATCTCAAAACTGAGGAACTTGTTTGAGTATATACAGACGGACGAACATGGCTACTCAGCTCGTCAAGCTGATTATTTATATATATATGTATATGTATATAAGTATTATATATATATATATATATATATATATTATATAAGTATTTATATATTTATATATGTCTCCGACGTTTCATTTCGGGTGTTACAAACTTCGTAGAAATTGAATATACCCTTTTCGATGTATAAAAATGTTTATGGGCTAGTTATGGTTCCTAATCCTCTGTAAATAAAACAGTACAATGCTAGAGGATTTCTTAACGGTTATGCACAAGTCTATTAAGCATATATGTTATGATACATAACAACAAAAGCTGTGGCATGATTTTTAAGTACATACACGCCTACGTGCATGTGTGGTTTAAGATTACTCAAATTTTTGGTTTCAAAAAGGAATTCGCATCACGAAAGCAACAAAAAATAAATAATGGGGCTTTGAAGTACACCGAAAATGTGTAATGAAACGTAAAATTGAAAAATATGCAAAGGCATAAGTACTTAATTTTAATGCTTAAATAAGCACAGATGTGTACAATCCAAATATTCGCATGACGATAACCTTATTAAAACTATGTAATAAATAGAATATATGTAACGCATAGAATATATGATATTTAAATGTGTCTATGTGTATCTGCTAACCAACTTTCTATTCTTTCTTTTAGAACAGAAGCAATGCTACGTAAATCTTATTTTTAACGATGCCTGTCATTATTGTTGAAGGACATGAGATTGATATCAAGTGTTTGTAAATACTGCTGAAAATATGTACATATATGTACGTAAGTACGTATATATATACTTATCATTTATGTATGTACTTTAATGCGGTACTTTTCTTGCCGCAATTCCAATTTTAAAGCAAAATACTGGCATTAAGTGTTATGTTGAGATTATCTTAACTTAATTTTTTATATATCTGCTATATACATATACTCGTATATATGTATATTTAGAAGCTAATGTTTATTTTTACACTTCAGAAAAAACGCTTTCCCTTAAATAACGGTGCCGAAAACAATCTGTAAAAGTCATTATAGCTCATTAATGTCTTAGGTAGTTAGTTTTTTATGCATTAACGGAAATAAAGCGAATCAATCATTTATTTTTTATTACTGGTGTCCAATCGTCGTGAAACAGCAAATTATGTATGGCTCTGTTATTTTGTATGAAGAGACCAAAAAACATTTATTCATATTGAACATCGTGTAAGAAGTTTCGACGCCATAGCCTTTAGCATTACTTGCAAAAATTTAGTTGTATTGTTTTTATTGATACCGTTTAAGTGTAAACAAATATTGTAGAGGACAACCTCTTCCCTCTTATAGCGAAAGTTCAAAGTCATCGACACAAGAGCGACTAACTGTATTTGAATTTCCTTAGCTCCTGTAAACTTATAAAGGAAGACTCTACGACTTGAATATTTTAAAACTATGTCCTTAGCAATTCTATATAATAAGTAAACTTTTTTTAAGTAGTTCTCCTAAGATAATAATTGGTTGTCATTTTATTGTCCTATAAGGTGCTCCAATGCGTAGCAATTCTGGTTGGAAAATGTTTGCGAGTTTGGTAGACGATAAAAGAGGGAGACCTCCCGCTCTCATACTGAACTCAATTGTGCACTAGTTCTATAGATTAAGTCCGTCTAGATGGGAACCCTTAAAGCTTGGTTTGAATAAGATGTATAGTTATTGAACAAAAGTAAAAAAAATTTAAGCCCTTGGGCAATGGTACTTTGTAAATTTATAAAATCTCTTAGAGTACGATTTAAACCATTTTCTGGACTTTTTTTTGTGTAAATTAGTCCCACCTGACAAAGTAATCAATCTGTGTTTCAACATGGCGTATGAGTAACTTTTAGTTAGAGTACATATGCTATAGACAGTGTATAGCATCTGAGATGTTAAGGTCCTCTACTATATCTCTGATGCCAACTCCACGATTTTTAAGCACTTTTTTTTTGTTTTTCAATGTTATCATTAATTTACATCTAGCGCGCAGTTTAAATTGATCAATCTGGGTCAATTTGATTAGGTGGTATATACGGTGCCTCAAAATTTTGGTTTATACATATCTTGAACTGCAAAGAATTTACAGTAATTTACAGATACACATGATCAGAAAAGGTTTAACGAAAACAAAAGACGGATCATATGATATTTGGGTATTTTAAAAAGATTTATCACCATTTTCGAAAAATAAGAATTGCTTCAGTTTAAACTTAAAGCGTAGCTATTATGTGAATGGTTTTTGAAGCATTATTTCAGATTATATTAAAAATATTTAAAACAGAATGGAATGGAAACGTATTACAAAAAATGGAGAATGAATGAAATATATTAAATTTCACATCATACACTACAGTAATAATAACAAAAACATATCAGCAATCACTTAAGATTGATTTTTAGAATATAATTGCCACCTATTTCTAATACTAAAACTCGTTTAATAAAATCGCAAAATACATTTTTTGTATTTATATAACAAATAAATTAAGCTTGTTTATTCGTTGACTTTGAGATAAATAAATATCATGTTTGAATTTTTCGACCATCCCATTCGAAAGTCGAAGTAGTGTTTCCTCTAAAACAAAGTTTTAAATTATGGTGGTAATGTCAAAAGTTATGTATAACTAAATTTTTACTAGAGGTACAAAAGTGTACCCAGACTTAAGCCACTTTAGCATATTGCCACAGAAGCAAAAGTATGCACTTGAAAAGAAAGAATTAAAATTATAAAAAGGTCCGTTGATCAAATATTTTCATATATATTAAATATGATATTTTCGGAGAAAAATAGTTTAATGTTGTCTTTTACTACCAGGTTATAATAAAATTATTTTAATAAATTTATAACTAGCTCTAAACTTCTGAATTACGACTATAAAGTTTTTGTTAGATACTTCTGAAAACAAATTTTTATTTCAGGAAGAAACAATTGAATATTTAATGTAAGGAAAATATGCAATACTTACGCACAAAAATGTTACTCATCAACGTGGCGGGCAAACAAAACACAATCACCAATATATCAGCAATCGCCAAGTTGACAATAAAATAATTGGTGACCGTACGCATTCGTGGCGCCCGCAATACGACGGCAATCACAAAACTATTGCCAACCAAACCGACTAGAAAGACAATAATATAGGCAAAGCAATAGACAATCGTCATGGCCAGTGAGTGGCGATAGAGCAAGTCGAAGTCAGTCGCACCATGTTCCCAATAGACCGTATCATTATCGGCGGTTGGCAACAACACTGTTGGCGTCGACATTGTTTCAACGGCGGCAGTGAAAGTGGAGGATGGTGATATATCTGCCAACAAATTGGCATAAAAGCTCGTTAAAGTGGAACCACTCTGCACATCCGATGGCAAACGATCGAGCAGCAGGTCTTCCGTTCTAAACGCATTCGAGGAACCGGTCACCGTGGCTGTGGCGGTTGTCATAACCGAACCCAACAATGTATCTACCACCAGACTGCTGGGCGGAGCATTTTGCTGTAAGAGTGTTTCGTTTTTTGTGTAAAGAGTTGTGAGCGCGGCAGGTGACATTATGATGTTTGCATTGAGTGGGGACACCGACACGTTCACGTCATTGGTCGCCGTCTCATTTGAGGCGTGCAATAGATCGTTATTCATTTCAGTGAATTGCTCCACATATTCGGGATTTAGTAGTAAATCTAAAAAATTATTTGTGATATTAACGCGCTGCTCGGCTAAGTCGGCTGCATTCGGTATTGCAGTGGGCTCGATATAATTGTTCTCTCGTGCGAGCTGTAGACTCGCGCCGATTGTTGCTTTCTGATTGTTGCTATCATATTTCGATGTTGTGACTGGCGTTCTATTGCGTAAAGGTTTTAACAAATTCGTTCCATTTAAATGTTGGTACTTTTGTAGTTTCTTCAAAATATTTTGTATATCGTTCGATGCCACCATAGTTGGGGCTGATCTGCGGGGGAGAAGTTAAAATATAACTATATTAGCAATGTAATAATACGCCAAGGTGGCATTTAAACATATAATAAATATTTGTTTGTGAAATTGGACTGAAAAAAATGCCTTCCTGAAAATACGAACATTTGTCTAACAAAGCTTTCCACCCATTACACTCGGTAAACTCTTTTGAAAAGCGTTATTTTTTTCTCAAATTACTTAAATCTTTACTGTTTTTTCGAACGATTAAAATCAAGCCCTTGCATGGAAAACTTTTTGATTGGACGATACATCTTTATGAAATTCGGTATGAACTAAATTATTGTCATAGACAAATCGTTGAAATCGCATCACTATAGCATCGGACCACTATAGCATATAGCTGCTATACAAATTGACTGATTTAAATCAATTTCTTGTATGCAATCTTTTGTATTTCTGAAGGGTGTTATAGCTTCGGTGCAATCGAAGTTCACGTTTTTTCTTGTTTATTTATTTTTCTACACTGGAGCCGGATTTTTGTCTAGTATAAATTACAACGAAGCTATTAAGTTTTCCCTAATAAACTCATTTTGGTTGGATTTGCTCATAATCTATTCTTTATAATTATGTTTGCAACTATTGTAATTTATATATATATTATTTATTTGCTTGAAAAATGTTTAAATTTCTTCATATTAAATTTTTATCTTATTTTACGAACTCTCCCTTATTAATTTAAATAACGAGAGCTCTGATGAAACGATATCTGCAAAATTTATTATTATTGTTGTTATGGAAATGCATTTACCGCCTAACAGAGCTGATTGCACAACCTCTCCCGCCTGTAAAACATCTCAAGGTCCACTGCTGTACTTTCTGCCTGAGGACCTTGTGCAGATATTCTCGTTAAGGCCACCGTCCAGATGAATACATACAAACATATGTAAAACATGGATATATACCGTATATATGTATATACATTTATATACATACATATATTTATTGCAGTGCAACATACGGTAAAACCAAGTAAAATGGCATCGCCTAATTTTGCGATTACACCAACAAATGCCCATATAAATGTACATACATACATACATATGTACCTACATATGTGTCTATGCTCATAAAAAAAATGTAACAAGCAAAGGGCTTGAAAACCAATTTCGGTTTTGTTTTGAAGGTTGCAACTCGAAAATTTCACATTTCGCAAGGTTGCTGGCGCCGCTGGCCGTGTAGGTGTCTGTGGAGGTGTGTTTATGAAATTCTGTATGAAACAATTCTAGGCACCAATGCAACTGCAACTGTAGCTATTTTTGGTGTCATATACATACATACATATATTTCTGAGCACTTCATTACATCGCTTTTTGTATACATACATATATATAAGTATGTATGTATTTTATCATATACACGACATTAAAATCAATTACTGCAATGAAGCACAATCCACAATCAGTGTCGAAATTATCCGCTTACTTAAGTGTTATATTTGCCACAAAGCTATGAACATTGCCAAAATACACCGCTATATAATATTGCTTATTTGTATGTGTGTATGTGTTTTTATATGCACATGACTTAAAACAAATATTTACTATGCCCAAATAGCGCAGTTGTAATTGTTACCCTTAAGTAGCAGCTTGACAAACCCAACCTTGCCACACAATAAAAAGGCCAACAAACATACAACCACTGAGTTCAGCAACAACAACAACAGCAACGTTTACGATAGCTGATGGAGCGATAAAAAGTTCAGTAGCAGACAACAAGGCGACAATATATGACTTGGATATTTATCTGACACAAAGATTGCCTACGAATAACCGTTACGTTTGAATGCGTGCTGCGTGCCACTGAGCATCGATATGTGAAAACTTTGAAGGGGTGGAATGGGCTGAGCCGCTCACTAAATACTGTCGCTGCTGCTACTAACTTTTCGACTAAATTTATAACATTCAATTTATGCCTTCGGCTATGCATGTGTGTACACGTGTGATTTGTTGATCCTTTTTTCCATTATGCTTTAATTTCTTTCTATTCTCTTAACGAACAGGGATGATGGCGTCGACGCCACCGCTGTTGTCACACAAGTTTTGTCTCCAGACAAACTCCATGAATGAATGGCAACAACAAAAACACACACATATACAATATATACATACATATATGCAGAGTCCAAGCAATAAAATGAAATAGCACAACTGTTCCGAATGACTGGACTACAATTGTGATGCCTTAGTGGATTATAAATATACATAAATATGCACAGTTATTTGTACGTACATATATAAAATGGGTATTTAAAAATAAAGAAAACGAAGCATTAAACTAAAAAGGGTCATGGGACTGTTATCGCATAACTTTGAAAATATTTAATAATACACTGGCGTATGCAGACGCACACACACATACAAACCATTGCATATGAGTGAGTAATAAACACTTATTCTCACACAATGGGTCACAGTTGAGTCCAAAAAAAAGTGCTACTAAAATGTGGTTATACCGTAATTAAGTGCACGAAGAAAGCAAAAACAAAAAAAAATTGCTTAATACCAATTAACTAAAAGCACATTCTAAGATTCACAAATATCACTTGCCCAGTGACCTTTTCCACTTAAATACAAATTTTCTTCTTTTCCAAAATTACTTTTCAGTTGTCTTTTTTTGCGTCTACAGCTTTGATCCCACTATTTTAAATCAAAATTTACGCTAACTAAGTAACACACCAACTTTAAATGCGGTATTGTGCGCTTCTGATTACTTCTTAAGCCACACAGCATCTAAGCTTAATTGGCTATGTAAGCGCTTAAATCCAACACCCACAAAACGCACACAGCTCAATTCAAATTCAAAATCAACTGGTTTATCTTGTATTACCGTGAACTGCACAGCACAAAACTGGAGTAGCGTGGAGTTCAGCACAAAGTACTCGTCGTACGCGTTGCCTTCAGCCACATGTACACATACAGGCACACACACAGTAACGGTAAATGTTACGATTTGGTGTTATGTATGAGTAGGCGTTTGTAAAATTTTGCTTTCCACTTTGCATATGTACAAAAATGTATTTCCTTCACTCGAACTGAGCGATTTTGTTTTGTTTACTATTTTTAAACGCGAGTTAGTTCATTCGCCTGCTTGACATTTGCTTGTGTGCGTGTTTCCTGTTTTTCATATATGTTACGTTGTGTGGCTTTTATCTTTTTTAATTCCTTAGGCGCACTATCGTTGTTAACGGTTTCGTGTTCAAAGCCATACTGTTGTCAAACTTTGTGTGCCAGCACATTTCATTCTCTAAATACATATGCATATATGTTGTGTACATACATCGTTTACCAGGATATACTCGCACAAACATCGGTATGCATCGGTATATGTCTGTGTATTTGGTACTCTGGGTGGCACAGTTTCGCTTTTAGCGATCCACTTCGTTGTTGCCAATACGAAACTGTACGAGCCACCTATGGCCCACACAACAACACCTACAACAACTGCGTTAATATCCCCATTTACCATTACTCTTGGTATACTCGTTTTGCTCGGTGTTGTCGCTGCTGCTGCTTCCAAGACTTCGAGTTTGTGCTACTCTCCACACTCTCTGGCTGTCACCTATTTGTTGATGTTTGTTGCTTGGCGCTGACTTGTGAATGTAGGTCCTTTGTTTCCTTGCTGCGCGCTCTCTCAGCGCTCGCTCAACTCGTTTGAGTGCAATTACGAGTGTTGGACGAGACGTTAGTGCCCAACTTTCGTCCTTGTATATTTGATATTTGGGGTTTGTTGGTATGTGTCTGGGATGGCTATATTTATTGGTATGTGTATGCACGCTTTATGCAATTGCATTTGAGTCTTTAACAGGTCGCCAGATCTGTTGCATAAAATTTTCCAAATTTTGGATTTTGAATACACTTAATGGCAAATTAATATTTTAGTCAAATTCTATACAAATAATATAAAATAAATTGAAAAAGTATTTTTATAATCTTTAGTTCAAAATTACTGTTTCATATTAGAAGAATTTTTTTATTTTCATCATAGACGTAAACATATGTATATACAATAAGTGTTGAAACTTTATTGTATTGCTTATTTTCAAAGGAACTTCGTTTTTTACAAGACTAAACGAAAAAACCCCTTAATTATTGTTGATCAGGAAGAACCCTAACTTCCCGTTGTCGACCTAGTTAAAATTGGTCCCTAATTGCACTACTTCTTGTTGGGATTTCAAGGATATCGGCGATGGTAGTCAATTGTAGACTTAGTTTGTTGACGATGAGCTTTAAGGGACATCCTAGTGGACGCTTTTGTGAATTAAAAAAAAATACTATATGAATTGTTTTTTAAGGGTACGTTAATACATATTTGAAGAAGACACAGAAAAATGTTTAAAGAAAAAAAATTTAATATTTTTCAAGTACACGCGATTTCCGACGACGCTCAAAATAGTGCGTCCACTGATGCAGTGATTCTGGCTTTATCCGTGAATGAATTTTAAAAAACAATTCTCTACCAGAAGATATTGTGCGTACAATGATATCCGGTTGAAAAAATCAAAAATTGACAAAATGGCGGCGTTTTTATCAAATGTCAACATTAGGTCTTGACATAGAGAACTGTATACAGAACTTAAAAAAAAAGTTTGAAAAGTAGTAGCGGCTACACCTGTAACTCAAAAATTTGTTTAAGATATTAATTTAAAAATTTTTTATGTTATTTTAAAAGGTATGGTCTATTTTTTAAATATCACACTAGGTGTTACCATTAATTGTTCTCACAAAAAGATCGAAGATTATACCCTTTACAGGTTAAGAAGTTTGTTGCTACGATATCTGATACAGTTAGAATTATAGAACTCTCTAAAAACCGAAAGAAGAACTCAATGCAGTTTTATGTGAATTTTTGAAAGTTTATTGGTATCCAAAACCTTGCTATCAAAATAGTTTATAGGAAATTCTTCGGAAAGCGTTAAAACGGCCAGCAGATGTGCATACTAAAGGGTATATTGCTGTAGTTATTGAAACCGAAAACATCAAATTATTTCTAGATTAAATTTAAATATATGTTCTAGTCCCAATTCAGACCACAATTATAAATTCCAAAATATATATTTAAAAAAAATACCGACGTGGCAACGCTTGAATTGAGCGTTGTTTAATTTTTCACTCATAAACAGTTCATACGCTACCATTGATGTCCCTCAACAACAATGACAAACTTTAGACACCATCCGTTGCGCTCGCCACACTCTCCACCATAAGTTTCTTCATTTCTCTCTTCTGCAACCTTACAGCATAAATTAGCTAAACCCTCAACGACAGCAAAGTTGATGTCTGTCAAATATAAAAAGTAGTACACTACGTACGTATATATGTCCGCTTGTATGTATGTATGTGTTAAATTGAATATAAAGTTGTGTTCTTTTGTATAAGTATGAGTTGGGAATGCCTTCTTTCTGACTAATCTATTATTAAGACAGTTGGAGGATGTCATGCCCCTTAGGTAAAAGGATTTATTGCTACTTTTAAATATTTTTCTCAACACTGTCTGCATAATTTGGAAATAATTAAATTGAAAATCGGTATGATCCTTCAAAAAGATTCTTGTAAAACTGTAAAATATTTTAAACATATCTTTTGAGTTGCCATCCCATTGCTACAAGCCGAACTGTGAATCTTTTGTGACATAAATAAATAACAAAATACTTTTTTACCATCGTTTAGGCGCCTGTTTGGATATTTGGAATTAAACATGCACAGAGGCATTGCAAGTAAAGTGCTTTCTTAAAGTATTCTGCTGATAAATGAATTTTGAAAAAATTTCTTATATGAGACAAATGTAAAATTTTCCATATAATGCACTTTTACTTTCTTTTATTGACTTGCTGAAAGCGCTTTACTAAAAATATTTTGATCAACTTAAATTGAACAATGTGAACTGTGACTTGTTCGAGCTATTTTACATTTAACAATTGGTATTAATTGCTATTTACACAGAAGTGAAATTCTGTAACTACGAGTAAGCGTTGATTGACTTTCTGCAAGCACTTTAATTACAACAACTGATACTATTACCGATTTACTCAGTATCAAATTACTTCTTATATCTTGAACTTTACTTGCAACAATTTTCACAGTGAATAAAGTAATTTTAAAGTTTTAAGTAATGATAAACTTTCTGAAAGCACTTTACTTGCAACCACATTCGACACCTTTAATTTGTGCTTGGTGTCAAATGTTCTCCGAAACGAATGCCTATTCCATTGCACATTTTTAACTCCTATGTGCTTGTAGATGGATGTGCACATATGGACGTGCTGACTCTGACGAGGAAGAGGGCAATTCATTGACCTCAAAACTTACTCTGCCAAATTGTCATAAAAGTATTTTCAATAAATAAACCATTATCGACAGTTAACCATTCACAAATATAAGATTCCAAACTTTCAACTGTCTTCGTGGTCCTAAGCAAAAGTGAAAGTATTCGTGTGTGTGTGTGTGTGCAATTCAATCGCATATTTGTACTTACTCATACCAAGAACTTAGCATACTCCCCAAGAGTTTAGTCACACATTCCACCACAAGTTAAAAAAGTATATGCATGTGTAAATACGAAGGATAGACATAACAAATTTGCCTCAAAGTTGAGAAGTAAAAAAAATTTTATTGTTTCATATGAGCTGTAAGTTGAGGTAATGTCTTTTCCGCTCGGGAAAAACATGATTTTAGGACTGCCAACAATTTTTATGGTTGTGTAAACATTATATATATGTTTGAAGTCACATTATCGCTGCTAAAAGTGTTTATAAAAATAAGTAAAGTGTTTATAAAGTGTTGAGTTATTCGAAGTAAAGTAAGGGTTTAAATAACAACGATTTAAATCAATATGGTAAATACCAACTATGAATCCGACAATCTAAGTTTTACCTTTACCATTCACTTCTATATATAAATACTTGCGCCTGTATACGTATATAATTATGTCTTCGTGTGAATGTACATAAACAATGTATCGTAGATATATACCAGAATTATATTGGATTTATTTAGCAAATCAGAGCACGATAAACTTAGCTAATGCACATGACAACACGTCCGCAAACTTTTGGGCGACTGTACACGAATCTTTTTGCTTGCTGATATAAATAATTTGTTCTTATTTTTATTGTTGTTTGGAGTTTGTTATGCTCCAGTTATAAAAGATGCTCCAGTAATGACTGATAGGGATTTATTTTAACACATATAAACATACGTACACACCCATGTATATATCCGCGTAGGGGCATTGATAAGCTCACACACAAATATTAGGGATGTATTGTTGCATGGAAATACTTTTAACACTTTCTTCATTGCATAAATAAATGGCAGACGCATTTACTTTTAAGTATTAATAATGTTACCAGGGTATCGAGACCAAATTTCTTCCAAATTCTAACAATAAAATTTTTAAGGAGCATAACTAGGGTAAAATTTAAATAAATAATCGATAGCTTATCTCTCTATTATATATAAAAGTTTTCTGCTGCTGCCGAGAATCAACTAACATAAGAGCGAGCTAGCTTGCGCTCGGCGGGGGGCGGACGTAGGCGAGCGAGCGAAGCGAGCGTCTCGGAGCGCAGCGGAGGGCGCCTAGTAACATATATAACATAAATCAATATCTCTAATAGTTTTTGAGTAACAACTCTCGAAAGTAAAGCCGCTCAGTTCAATCAGTTTATCTTTAAACGCATTTCACTCAAATCTAAATTTATCAAATTTGCTTAAGCGACTACTAAAAATGATCCGATCACTATCAAGTTTTTTCTGCATGCCCTGTATATAGGTACATGCATTGCTTTCCAATGACTAAAACTAGTGTTGTTTTTATATTAAAAAGCAAATCAATAACGATCAAAATTTTTGGTAAAATTCAGCCTTTTTTTTAAACGTCACCAATTTGTGATTTTTTTTTTTACCCGTAGGCCAATGTCTTCCAGTAGAGCAAATATACCTTTAAAATTTTAAAATAATTGAGTAGCAGTGGTTTTTGTTTTATAATTATACTCAGTACCTTGAAAATAGCAGACCGGTTTTGAAGCGTTCTTTTACTCCCGGTTAAATTTGTTATTTATGTATTGTATATTTAATAAATTTTATAGTTACAAAATAAAATAATGGTTAGCTAATATCTGGCTGCATTTAAAAAAGAAAAACTAGCGCTAAAATTAGTAAAATAGTGAAAAATACAGTACTTGAGAATTATGCCAGTTTAAAAACCCATTTTTTTTAAGATTTCAAGTGCTCCGTTGGTTTCGCCGTAATGCCGACTATAATGAAAAAGTAATAAAGTTTTATCTTTTTCTTGGTATCTCTGCTGGAACACGATAATAGCCAGATTTAAGCTTTCTCGTTGTTCAGATCTCTCGGAAAAAGTTTTTTGAACATTTTTCATCACATATATGTATGAATGAGAGCTAAAGCTCCATTATAAATATTGTAAACATAAAAGAAAAAAAAATAGAAAAAAAACGAATAAAAAACGCATACGAATTGAAAATTTGAGAAAAATATTTTTATTTGGTGCCAATCATTTTTCAAAAAATCGTTTTTTCAGTAAACTTGTTTACTTGGTTCTAATTTTATATTAAATTCATATTTTTTTTTTTTACTCTCATAAATAAGTTCTTCATCCACATCCAAATATAAATTTTTTTTCTACCACACTGTATAATCAATACATTGATTAAGTGGCTTCAAGTACATTTGTTTTCAAATTTAGATTTCTAATTGCTTGTCCTACTTATCTAGTAGTTTTTAGTTTAGTCCTTACATGCATGTTTCATCGGTGTATGTGTGTATAAGCATATATCTTTCCAAACTAATAATTGAAAATAGGTACAGTTAATTTATTATTCAGTACTATGCATTTTACACTAAATAGTAGAGCTGTAAGGGTATGAGTGTGAAAGTTCAAGCAGACACACATTCAAACACACACATCCATGTAGACCCGTATATATGTTCATCTATCCTGTAGTTATCAGTTGACGATAAAGCTAATTCTCTTTAACCCGGTACCAAATTATATGATAATAGTACGTCATGAAAATAATGTAAAAGGATTTATAAATAAACAATATCACAAATCATGTGTACTGTCTTTATAATCCGTAAAATAATTTGACCTAATTCGGAATACGTTTCTCAACCATTGTTAAAATTAAATTAAATTGAGAAATTTCCTGAGAACCTTTTTCTCGAAAACATCAATTAAACATAGTAAACTTGATAAATGTACAACTAAGTGTTCGCATTTCAGAAGTCAAAATATTTTTCAACCTATTGTTTAAAGTCAAGTTTGAATTTTTCAAATTATGTGAACACAAAAAAAAATTTGTGATTTAAACTTTTGGTTTCGGCACATAATCACACTATGAACTTGAAGTTGAAGAGATGCTTACAAATAATAAAATAAAAATTGAATGACTTTAACCAGCGGTAAGTATTTTAGAAATAAAACAAGAAAAAACGTTAACTTCGGCTGCACCGAAGTTATAACATCCTTAATAGGTTTCTTATAGCATAAAAGATAAAGATGCAAGAGTAGTCCGATCTGAACAATATATTCGGAGATTGTAGCCTTGCCATGGATAATCTTCTATGTCAAATTTTGTAGAAATTTATTGTTAAATAAAAACGTTTTCCATACAAGGATTTTATTTCGATTTCGGAAATCGGAAATTGTTCTGCTGTCGTGGAGAATAATCTATGCTAAATTTCGTGAAGATATCTTGTCAAATAAATGGTTTTCAATATAAGAACTAGATTTTGATCGATCAGTTTATGTAGCAGTTGTATGTTATAATGTATATTATTCTTCGATATCTCAAAAACTAAGGGATTAGTTTGACTCGTCACGATGATCATTTATACCTATATTTACTACATACTTTTCAGGGTGTAAAAAGAAAATTATTTGAGGAAACTAAAAAATATTTTTGAAGTCACTGATTTGTGAAATCAGCTTCGAATACTTCTAAATTCTGCATTTTAAAAGTTCAACTCACTCACTTAAATTTTTTCTACTGGGTATTTTTATCTCTTCCTACTTTATAGCATTAAAAAGAAACTGTTTTCAAACAAGCAACTATTTCCGCTCGTTACAATGAAATTCATATCGTGCCTTTAAGCTAATAAGCTACACACAATCAAATGCTTAACATCAATGTAAGCTTGTACGCACATATTTTTAGCCAGTTATCAACTCTATACCTTGTAGTAATCCGCCTACTGAACCAATTTTTTTATACACAGCAAGCGATTACATACACACCCACATTAACATTTCCAAAACATACAGCTTCATTACCTAATAAAAATTAAGATAACCGCATCAAATCTCTGCCTCCTCCATAGCAACATAAACGTGTAGGTCATTTGTCACAAACTAACAAATAAAGTCATTTCGCAGTATATTTTCATGCAATTTGTCAAATAGTACAATATTACTTTGGCTGACAAGTTGTTTATCTCAGACCTTTTCATCTAGACGTCACTTTGAAAGAGCCAGTGCAAGTGAAGCTTACAGTATAGAGTAGCAAAGAATTTCGTTATGCCCACCACACCTCAATACGTGGTCACATACTTGTACTTAGTTATACACAAACATGCAAACATACATAACTACATCTGAACATGTATATATGTATAAAGATACGTTTGCATGTGTGTTTGTGCTCTCATAAAATCACACCAGTTCAACATGTCCTTATATTGTGCGTTTGTGTCCTTGTTCAGCCCGACACTCTAATAAATCGTCTCTCACAGCTGTCGGAGAGTATCCCACTTCTCTGCACTTATTACATTCGGTTCTCGCAAGCAAACACACAGTTCACTTTTGCCGTAGAACAATAACAAAAATGCGGCCAAAAGTTCAAACACCTCGGAGGTAGCCAAGACTTATACAAACATATATATATATATATATATATAGCTCGAAACTGCACTGAAAGAAATGATTTGAGATTCACAAATATGTTTTAAAAAGTCTAATTTTTTATATCAAGTATTTTACTAGAATATTTTTACGATTTCAATTTTAATATTAATCTTAAATTTAATTTTTAATTAATTTAATTATTCGTACCAAATCAAGAATTACTGTGTATATTAGAATATATATCGAGAAATAATGCTCAGTGCCATAAAACGAAACGAAGAACTTTTATGAGTTGCCTTATCGTTCGTATCAGAAAAATTCTTTGAATAGCGATTAATCGACATAAAAGATATTTAGCATTTCCTATTCTGAACTATTCATTTAAATGTGAACAATTATGAGCCATGATGAAGATAAATTCCTATTGACTACGCTGACGTATATTGATCTTTATACCCTGTTTACATGACGTTAGCCACGAAGCTTGTAGCACCCAGAAGGAAACATACGAGACCCCATATAAAATATATATAAATGATCAGCGTGACGAGCTGATCCGTCTGTCCGTCCGTCTATATATGTGCGAACTAGTTCTTCAGTTTTTCATATATCACTCTAAAATTTTGCACACATCTTTTCTCTCCAAGATGCTGCTCATTCGTTGAAACCGCCGTTATTGGACCACTATAGTCTTATATTATAGCCGCCACAGAAACTGAACGATCGAAATCAAGTTCTTGTACGAAAACCTTTTATATTTGAGAAGATATCTTCAGGACACTTGCCATGGGTTATTGTCCAAGCGAATGCTACAAACTTTCTTGTATGAAAGCTTTGTTATTTCTGGAAGGTACTTTAGCTCCGGGGCAACCAAAGTTAAGGGTTTTTCGTGTATTAATTTTTTGTACATCGCAACTGAATGACTGAAAGCGTCCCTAGTAATTTTCTTTTCCAAATGTAAAATAATTTTAGTCACACAAATTATATTAAATACCTTCTAAACAGTTTCAATTTTTTATGAAATCCCCCATGATTCAAAATATCAAGAAGTACTACTTATAGTTTAAACTTCTTACGCGGCGTTTGATCAAATTTCTTCATTAAGTCTTTTCTTGTAAATGAATTCTAAGAAGTCAAACCACTTCAAATATCATATCAAGTAAAAAGTAATAATCAACAGCAAGTAGAGCGTTTGAGATACAAAGGTGAATGATAAACTCCGTTTATATGGTACATAAAAAACAACCACAAGTGCGCATTAGTTAAAATACAATGATTGTTAAGTATTTAACGGCGATAAAAAAAGTTGCTGGGAAATCGTAGAGACTTGAATAGAAATAAGTATCAGAGTTAATCTCGCTTTAAAACAATTTTTTTATATAGAATTCTATACTTTCCTTTATGATTATTATGTGAGTATATACAATATTAAAATAAGAATAACAACATTGAAAGTAAGAAAGATATCAGTGCTCCTCTATTATTTTGCGTATTTATCTGGTAAAGGTCTTATTTTAATTTACGAGGTGTATTCAAAAATACCAGTAATTTTTAAATTAAAATTTCGCGGGTTCCGAGAGGACATACCCTTGAAGCACGATAAAATTTTCTGCTATTTCATTGCTTACTTTTTCTGTAGCCGCTAACGTCAAACAATATGAAAATGCCCATTATTTTTGGAACGCAAATCATTTTAAATCAGGTATGTATTTACATATACATAGGTATATGTGTATGAGAACAATTATGTAAAACATTTATCAGATTTAGTTAACCTTTAACTAATTTTTATAAATGTTGATGGCATAAATAAAAAGGCGCGTACACATATGAAAAGTGTATTTTTTGATATGAGACATAAAAAAATGTACGTCTAAACCCACCCTAAATATCCGTGTGCATTAACTGCTTTTAGGGGTTGTTTTCGCGGACTGTACCAAAGTGCAAGTACGTATACCTTGTTTTCGATATGCATAAGCATGTACCTATATGTTGTATATGTACACACAGCATGATTTTAGGCAGTTATTTTGAGAAACAAATTTGTTGAACATTTTTTTGAAACATTTTTTTTATTTTTAAATTCTAACGATGCTAAATTCAAAGTATTTTAGAGTGTTATAAATGTATAGTAATTACTAATCAGTTAAGTGATGACGTGCATTTATGAACATAGCTCTAATAACACATACATTATTAAATATTTATTGTATTGCTTTGGGCGCATTACCAAGCGCTGATTTCGCCAACTATCGTTATTCTTCAAACCTACATTGCAAACGATGCTGCTCTCTGTTAAAATAATAAATTTAAAACAATCCAATATTAATTTCACGACTCGGTTTGAGAAATTAGCTGTTGTTTGACAGACCTCTACTTTATCTATATTACTACACAAAGTTTACATAGCTAAAAAATACAAATAACAAGAATTTATGAAAAATTTAAGATATTATTATAAAACTATTATGCATAGGTACATATATATATATATGCTTATTATGTGAAACAAATTCAAATTTCATATTTGAGTAAATCATATTGAAAACGTATGTATTTGTTCGCTATTAAATTAAAAATTATGTGTGTCAATTTTTTTCAAAATATCATCCAAAATCTTAATGAATCGATATTTTTATTTATATAATACAATATTATTTGAGATTTATTTGTTAAACTCCTTGCGTTTGCTAAACTTTGGGTCGAGCTTTATCCCCGCTTGATGTTATATGTGTTAAAGCTTCCTAAAAGGATTGTTTTAATATTGGGGATATGTGTATAAACACACAGTTTTATTAGTCGAAACCTGGAATTAACGGAGAGTTGTCATAATTTATACTATATCATAAGGCCAACTCTTGCAGTATAGCTCAACTGAAATCCGTTAATGCTTAATCATTACTTAAATCTTTTTGTGAAATTACTACTAATATAAATAAAAAATTAGTCAATACCTTTAATTTTCTGAAAGATTCGAGAATTCGCCAATGTTTGCTGGGATGCATGTACGATAATATTTCAGATATTCGCATATACATACATATATTGTAAATATATATGTACATACATATATATGTATATAAAAACATATTTATGTTATTCAAACGTTATAGCGTCATGCATTTAGGCACGTATAACTCCTATGTACATATGCACATACTATACAGAAATTTATTAATTTGACATATGCATAGTTTAAATGAATCAAATCGTAAAGAATGAGTAAGTTTACTACAATAAGTGGACAATATAAATGTTAAAATCGATTATTGTTACGTTTTATATACATAAATATATGTTTTCAAAACATTGGATAAGTTTCTAGAACTTGCTGTCACCCGGTAGCTTAAGCAAACCGAGTTCCACATTGTTGGATTGACTGATTAATAAATTATACATAGTAGATGCATACATATAAAAAACTATTCATAAATATGTATGAACATATTTAGAAAAACAAAACTGGCTGTGAGCACACGATTCTATGCGAGATTTTTATAATTGTTTTTTATTGTTTTTGTTTCGGTTTTCACTATATATATTTTATTAATAAAAATATATAATATACTCAACAAATAAATTAAAATTATAAGAAGAAAATGACATAATCTATAAAGTTTCGTTTTTCGTATTGATTCAGGTGATACATATATGGTACATATGTATATGTGTGCCCGTTGAATACGTTCCAAAAAGTCGGTATACCTTCTCGTTTACCGCTACCGTACACAGAAAAGGTAACACATAAACTCACTGTGTGTTAAAGAGAGACAAACAGACTTAAAACGAAAATCAATAAAAGCGATTTGATTGTGGAATTTTCCCGACTTTTCCAAACTGCACAGCCAACAGGTATAAATACAGCAACGCCAGTTGGTATTCTATCATTTGTGTTTCAGTCGTGTAACATAGTGTTTGAAAATCTTAAAGAGTCAAGTTGTGAAAAAGTGTTACAATAGTGTGAAAGAAGCAGAAAATAATTATTTTAAAATGGCAGCCGGATGTTGGTCTTTGGTGAGGAAATTACAAGTATGGCTAGGCGAAGAACCGGGAGGCTAGCAGAGACGAAGTACTTAAGCTTGAGCTTTATTGGAAATCAATGAGAACAGAAGAAATCTAGGCGCCTCGCCGATTTTTTTTGGATGGTTTTTTTTTATCCAACACACTTGGCTGTCCATTAGCTGTTACTGCGTACCATAGTTATCAATTAGGCAGGCTGATTCGGTGAGGAATTTATGCTGAACAGACAGGCAGGCTTATAACATGGTCACCTATGTGTTGGGAACAATTAAGAGGCAGGCGTAAAAAACGGCAGAAATCTGCATTGATAAATGGCTGTGTAAAGCCTAGAACATGAGTAATCCAATGGATTTGGGAAAATGAGTAAGGTACAAAAATTAAATGAAGTTGATTCGATTTTTTTACATAATCTATTTAAGTAAATGTATTAAACATCGTAATGTTTTCACATATATATTAGATATTCGTAATTATAGTATATATATCCTACAACGCATATTTTACGTAGCTGAAACGTTTTAACTTTATTTCTCTACCTAACAAGCGCATTCTACTTATAATAAGTCTGCGAAACTTTTTTTTTCGTTCAATAGCAATTGATGTCTGTGTTCGTATAAGTCTACGTCATTTACATATGATACATATATTGAAATCGTCTCTTCTTGCTTAATCGAATACTTATTCATCGCAATATTGCGAAATTGTATTTTTCCATTATTATTTTTTTTTGTATATTACATTTTGCATATACCATATAGCATATACATTATGCATACATACAAATATTATTAGCAAGACTCGTAAACGTTTTTTCGACGACGTGCAAGTGAATAAGCAAGCGTTCAAAGAATATATAGCCATTTCACTCTTTCGAAATGTGAATTCCAAAGGCAGCTGCGTGATTTTTTATCCATGATTTTTATGTATAACATAAATAAATTACGAGTGTGTAGAAACTGCCACCATTAAGAAGTTTTTCTAGAACAGTTTCTAGCACATTTTCAACATCGTGAAGAGATCTTCGCTGCATATGCTTTATTTTTTTGATCGTATCTGTAAATAAAATGTTCAAAAGGAATAAATATACATATGTATGCATGTGTATATATATTTTTCGTAGGAAGCCTTGCTATAAAATTTTCATGGGCCTACTTTTTTTTTTAGTACTTTATTTTCAAAAATGTTCAACATACATATACAGACTCACTCCCTATACTAATCCGCACAACTTTATGAAATATTTTTAAGCAAAAAACACAAAATTTTCAAAAACCCTAGCGCCTTATTAAGTTTTTCATTTATTTTTTAATCCAGGTCAAAAACGAAGGCTTTCCAAATTTCAATTTCATTTCTAAACCTACAAAGTTTTGCTAAACTTGCAATACCCAATAAATGTTTTATCGCCTTAACCAAGAAGTTTACACGTCATCATTAATTTATAGGCAATTGATTATATTAAGCACATATTCGTACATCTCTCTCTATTAAATGCATAAAAAATAGTTGCAAACATACATATATTTAAATTTTAATTCTAAAATATTAATAGTATTCTAGCTTAAATGAATAAGTCTTTCTCACAATCTTATATCGTAACCATGTTTCTTTCTTTGAACTTTATAGTTGTTGGGCGTCTTTGAAAAGCAATTTTGTCGTTTTTACTACTTCCGCTACATGCAAACATATGTATATAACTAAATGTTATTGCAGTTTGCAGATAAAAACTGAAACACTACTCAGTATTAAACACAATAATTGACCATAGGCGCAGAGCTCCTCGTTCGTAATAACATGAAGACAAAGCGATAAACCCATCTACTACAATATCCATAGTACTTACGGCTAAATATTATTCTTCTTCTTCGCCATTGTTATTTCTTCTACTACCAGAAAAAGCCCTTGTCATCGACGGTAGAGGAATTTATGATGCAGAATTGGTATTTGTTTTGTTTCACTTAATTACCTAGGATATACAGTTCATATAAATATATACATACTTACGTTAAAAAAAACCCCAGGTTTGCACGAATTGTTAAGGAACCTAAGACAAATATTTTTTTTATTATTAAAAATTTTGAATTATATATTTTATAGGTTGAAAGAGTAAATCAAATAACTCCATATGTACATGTGTCTTAAACTTACATAAATCGAACTTATTGAAATATTGTTTTATCGGTCTCTTACATAATGTACATGTGTCTTAAACTTACATAAATCGAACTTATTGAAATATTGTTTTATCGGTCTCTTACATAATTATGTTAATACAAAATTACTGCGTTATTTATCATATATGACCAAACCAATTTATATAAATCAAAACCAAACACAATGCAGAGAAAAAAAAACATAAAATAAGCTAAATAAATTAAGAAAAGCATTACAAACATACAAACAAGGGAAAAATAAATAACTATTCCTGCCCACTTTTTAAGTCTTTAATTAAACTCTTTAGGAACGCCCCATCGACGACCAAAGTGAGTACAAACGTAAATAATACATATTCATAAATGAGTTTTAAACGTACATGCATATATATTTTATTTTATTTTAACATTGCTCGTGGTCTAAGTTTATAACAAACTGTAGGAAACAACTTCGAAAATTAAATAAAAAATCAAACTAACAGCTGAAATTATTATTAAATACATTAAAAACCGACTGGAATGGCGAAAAACAATAAATCAAATAAAACCTTAGGGGGCTGCAAGCGTAAAGCGCTTTATATATTAATATTATTATATAAACCTAAAAATAAAACAGGGTGTTCCAAAAATACGTGTATATAAATTCTACGTACCCTTACAAAAATATCCGATATATACAATTACTTAATATTCAGTGGACGGTACAACTTATTAAGCCTAAATACTAATCATTAGATAGGAAAAACTGCAGAAACAAATTGCGATATTCTGGTGAAATTACTTCATTTAATATTTCATTTTGCGGTATTTTGGACTTAAGTCATCATACGAAAAAATCTAGTTTCTATAATTTCATGCTTTATTTTTGAGTTTTACATAAGCAAATACCTAATAGTCAACATCTCCTACATTTAACAAAGAATTTCCGAAAAGAAACACTGAATATAATTTTAATTTCATTTCATTGAAAAATACCAGAAGATAGACTATTCGCAATGTCCATTCTGTTTACGTGACGAACCATTAAAATCCTTACAGTAGTATATGGCTCTATTCATAATGTAAAAACATTTCTTGAAGATATATATTTTTTTAAAATATTTTTTCATATTTGTTCATATTTTTTTTAAATATTTTTTTTTTGTTTTTAATTGTTTAACTCCTATTTTTAATAGTTTTTTTGTTTTGTTAACAATTTTTGTTTTATGATTTTTTTTGTTTTGTCCTGCTCAGTATTTACTAAAGAATACAGTTTTTATTCTTCAAACATTTCAATCATTTAGATGCGCCACTTCTTTGTCCGTCGTGACTGAGTTTTACTCTGTATACTTATATAAAATATTATATATATATGAATAATAAAGCTATGCCAAGTCTATTCAATAAAAAACTCTTGTGGATACCGCATTAAATTAATTTTAATCAGTTTAATTGCATTCAGCAACAAACAGCTGGCCACTCTCCAAGTTTTATCAAACGGAACAAGGGCTAAGTCACATCAGAACAGATGTTCAGTTTCTTTCAGTTCCCTAACCCACGTACTGATCGATAATTAGATTTTTTCCTATTTTAAGGAAGTTTGTATTACATCTCATTTTCGTCTTTATAAATTGTACAACTACACTTTAATTCTATTAAAAATTTCTTTAAACCATTTCGTTCAAAATTTCCAGAACTATTCTACATAGCATTTCAAGTCCAAATACCACAACTGAAATGTTTAGATGAAATGTGAAATATTTTACCAGAATATTAAGTAATAATATAGAGGTATAATTGCTAATAATATATAAGCTTTTACAATGCAGATACGTGGATAAATTAACGTATGACTTATCAAAACAATAATTATACCCATAAAATACAAAGCTGATGATTAATATGAAAAGCTTTTTAAGATGTTGAGGTTTAAATTTTTTTAAGCGTCCGTAAATGAAATGGTATCAAAAAATATAATAGAAATAAAATAAACTATTGTACTAAAAGCATCTAAACAGTAAAAAAAATAAGTATACGAGCGTATCAACGGTGTATGAATTTACTTCTTAAACATTAAGAATTACCTACAATCCTATTACGAAAAGAGTCGTAAAATATTTTTTTGCGATATTTCAATAATGTAAAATATAAGAGACCTCATATATTATAAAAAATCTCATGTAATTTGTATTAATTAAGTAACGTTTAACTCGTCGAAACCTAGAAATGTTAAAGCCAAAATATGTCTTCGAGAGGTGTATAAAGGAGTTGAAAAGTAAACGGATATTTTTTAACCGAGTTAAAGCCCCATAAATACGGAAAACTGAGGTATAAGAGTAAAAGTAAAGCGATATTAGTACAGAAGTTGAAATTATGGACCCTCATGCCGTAAACCTAATATTTTATGAAAAATATATGTCTTCGAAAATAGTAACCAGGAAACGTAAACTAACGACGTAACCTTAATTTTTTATGTAAAAAATATGTCTTCGAAAAGAGTAAAGCGTTAATAATAAAGAAGTTAAGATAATAAACCCTAACAACGTAACCCTAATTCTTTTTGTAAAAAATATGTCTTTGAAAAGAGTAAAAAGTTAAACTAAAGCGTTATTAATAAAGAAGTTGAGCCGCTAAGCCCTAACGACGTAACCCAAAAAATATTTCTTCGAAAAGAGTACACAAGAGTAAACACTTGAAAAAGTTAAGATAAAAGAATCTAACGACAAAACCCTAATTTCCTATGCAATAAATATGTTTTCGAAAAGGTTAAATAGTAATAGTAAAGCGTTACTAATATAGAAGTTGAGATGATAAACCCTAACGACGTAACCTTAATTTTTTATGCAAAAAAGATGTCTTCGAAAATAGTACACTAGAGTAAATACTTAAAGTAAAGCGTTATTAATAAAGAAGTTGAACCATAGACCCTAACGACGTTACCCTAATTTTTTAAGTAAAAATTATGTCTTCGAAAAGAGTACAAAAGAGTATAGAGTTAAAGTAAAGCGTTATTAATAAAGAAGTTGAGACGGTAGACCCTAACGACATAACCTTAATTTTTTATGCAAAAAATATGTCTTCGAAAATAGTACAAAAGGGTAAATACTAAAGTAAAGCGTTATTAATAAAAAAATTGAACCATAGACCCTAACGACGTTACCCTAATTTTTTAAGTAAAAATTATGTCTTCGATAAGAGTACAAAAGAGTAAAGAGTTAAAGTAAATCGTTATTAATAAAGAAGTTGAGCCATAGACCCTAACGACGTTACCCTAATTTTTTGAGTAAAAATTATGTCTTCGAAAAGTGTACAAAAGAGTAAAGAGTTAAAGTAAAGCGTTATTAATAAAGAAGTTGAGACAGTAGACTCTAACGGCGTTCCCTTAAATTTTTATACACAACATATGTCTTCGAAAATAGTACAAACGAGTAAATACTTAATGTAAAGCGTTATTAATATAGAAGTTGAGACGGTAGACCCTAACGACATAACCTTAATTTTTTATGCAAAAAATATGTCTTCGAAAATAGTACAAAAGGGTAAATACTAAAGTAAAGCGTTATTAATAAAAAAATTGAACCATAGACCCTAACGACGTTACCTAATTTTTAAGTAAAAATTATGTCTTCGATAAGAGTACAAAAGAGTAAAGAGTTAAAGTAAATCGTTATTAAAAAAGAAGTTGAGCCATAGACCCTAACGACGTTACCCTAATTTTTTAAGTAAAAATTATGTCTTCGAAAAGAGTACAAAAGAGTATAGAGTTAAAGTAAAACGTTATTAATAAAGAAGTTGAGACGGTAGACCCTACGACATAACCTTAATTTTTATTCAAAAATATGTCTTCGAAAATAGTAAAAGGGTAAATACTAAAGTAAAGCGTTATTAATAAAAAAATTGAACCATAGACCCTAACGACGTTACCCTAATTTTTTAAGTAAAAATTATGTCTTCGATAAGAGTACAAAAGAGTAAAGAGTTAAAGTAAATCGTTATTAATAAAGAAGTTGAGCCATAGACCCTAACGACGTTACCCTAATTTTTTGAGTAAAAATTATGTCTTCGAAAAGTGTACAAAAGTGTAAAGAGTTAAAGTAAAGCGTTATTAATAAAGAAGTTGAGACAGTAGACTCTAACGGCGTTCCCTTAAATTTTTATACACAACATATGTCTTCGAAAATAGTACAAACGAGTAAATACTTAATGTAAAGCGTTATTAATATAGAAGTTGAGACGGTAGACCCTAACGACATAACCTTAATTTTTTATGCAAAAAATATGTCTTCGAAAATAGTAACAAAGGTAAATACTAAAGTAAAGCGTTATTATAAAAAAATGAACCATAGACCCTAGACGTACCTTAATTTTTGAGTAAAAATTATGTCTTCGAAAAGTGTATAAAAGAGTAAAGAGTTAAGTAAAGCGTTATTAATAAGAAGTTGAGACAGTAGACTCTAACGGCGTTCCCTTAAATTTTTATACACAACATATGTCTTCGAAAATAGTACAAACGAGTAAATACTTAATGTAAAGCGTTATTAATATAGAAGTTGAGACGGTAGACCCTAACGACATAACCTTAATTTTTTATGCAAAAAATATGTCTTCGAAAATAGTACAAAAGGTAAATACTAAAGTAAAGCGTTATTAAAAAAATTGAACCATAGACCCTAACGACGTTACCCTAATTTTTTAAGTAAAAATTATGTCTTCGATAAGAGTACAAAAGAGTAAAGAGTTAAAGTAAATCGTTATTAAAAAAGAAGTTGAGCCATAGACCCTAACGACGTTACCCTAATTTTTTAAGTAAAAATTATGTCTTCGAAAATAGTACAAACGAGTAAATACTTAATGTAAAGCGTTATTAATATAGAAGTTGAGACGGTAGACCCTAACGATGTTACCCTAATTTTTATGCAAAAAATATGTCTTCGAAAATAGTACAAAAGGGTAAATACTAAAGTAAAGCGTTATTAATAAAAAAATTGAACCATAGACCCTAACGACGTTACCCTAATTTTTTAAGTAAAAATTATGTCTTCGATAAGAGTACAAAAGAGTAAAGAGTTAAAGTAAATCGTTATTAATAAAGAAGTTGAGACAGTAGACTCTAACGGCCTTCCCTTAAATTTTTATACACAACATATGTCTTCGAAAATAGTACAAACGAGTAAATACTTAATGTAAAGCGTCATTAATATAGAAGTTGAGACGGTAGACCCTAACGACGTTTCCTTAATTTTTTATGCAAAAAATATGTCTTCGAAAATAGTACAAAAGGGTAAATACTAAAGTAAAGCGTTATTAATAAAAAATTGAACCATAGACCCTAACGACGTTACCTAATTTTTAAGTAAAAATTATGTCTTCGATAAGAGTACAAAAGAGTAAAGAGTTAAAGTAAATCGTTATTAATAAAGAAGTTGAGACAGTAGACTCTAACGGCGTTCCCTTAAATTTTTATACACAACATATGTCTTCGAAAATAGTACAAACGAGTAAATACTTAATGTAGAGCGTCATTAATATAGAAGTTGAGACGGTAGACCCTAACGATGTTACCCTAATTTTTATGCAAAAAATATGTCTTCGAAAATAGTACAAAAGGGTAAATACTAAAGTGAAGCGTTATTAATAAAGAAGTTGAGCCATAGACCCTAACGACGTTACCCTAACTTTTTAAGTAAAAATTATGTCTTCGATAAGAGTACAAAAGAGTAAAGAGTTAAAGAAAATCGTTATTAATAAAGAAGTTGAGCCATAGACCCTAACGACGTTACCCTAATTTTTTGAGTAAAAATTATGTCTTCGAAAAGTGTACAAAAGAGTAAAGAGTTAAAGTAAAGCGTTATTAATAAAGAAGTTGAGACAGTAGACTCTAACGGCGTTCCCTTAAATTTTTATACACAACATATGTCTTCGAAAATAGTACAAACGAGTAAATACTTAATGTAAAGCGTCATTAATATAGAAGTTTGAGACGTACCCTAACGACATAACCTTAATTTTTATGCAAAAATATGTCTTCGAAAATAGTACAAAAGGGTAAATAGTAAAGTAAAGCGTTATTAATAAAAAATTGAACCATAGACCTAACGACGTTACCCTATTTTTTAAGTAAAATTATGTCTTCGATAAGAGTACAAAAGAGTAAAGAGTTAAAGAAATCGTTATTAAAAGAAGTTGAGCCATAGACCCTAACGACGTTACCCTAATTTTTTAAGTAAAAATTATGTCTTCGAAAAGAGTACAAAAGAGTATAGAGTTAAAGTAAAACGTTATTAATAAAGAAGTTGAGACGGTAGACCCTAACGACATAACCTTAATTTTTATTCAAAAAATATGTCTTCGAAAATAGTACAAAAGGGTAAATACTAAAGTAAAGCGTTATTAATAAAAAAATTGAACCATAGACCCTAACGACGTTACCCTAATTTTTTAAGTAAAAATTATGTCTTCGATAAGAGTACAAAAGAGTAAAGAGTTAAAGTAAATCGTTATTAATAAAGAAGTTGAGCCATAGACCCTAACGACGTTACCCTAATTTTTTGAGTAAAAATTATGTCTTCGAAAAGTGTACAAAAGAGTAAAGAGTTAAAGTAAAGCGTTATTAATAAAGAAGTTGAGACAGTAGACTCTAACGGCGTTCCCTTAAATTTTTATACACAACATATGTCTTCGAAAATAGTACAAACGAGTAAATACTTAATGTAAAGCGTTATTAATATAGAAGTTGAGACGGTAGACCCTAACGACATAACCTTAATTTTTTATGCAAGAAATATGTCTTCGAAAATAGTACAAAAGGGTAAATACTAAAGTAAAGCGTTATTAATAAAAAAATTGAACCATAGACCCTAACGACGTTACCTTAATTTTTTGAGTAAAAATTATGTCTTCGAAAAGTGTATAAAAGAGTAAAGAGTTAAAGTAAAGCGTTATTAAAAAAGAAGTTGAGACAGTAGACTCTAACGCGTTCCCTTAAATTTTATACCAACATATGTCTTCGAAAATGTACAAACGAGTAAATACTTAATGTAAAGCGTCATTAATATAGAAGTTGAGACGGTAGACCCTAACGACATAACCTTAATTTTTTATGCAAAAAATATGTCTTCGAAAATAGTACAAAAGGGTAAATAGTAAAGTAAAGCGTTATTAATAAAAAAATTGAACCATAGACCCTAACGACGTTACCCTAATTTTTTAAGTAAAAATTATGTCTTCGATAAGAGTACAAAAGAGTAAAGAGTTAAAGTAAATCGTTATTAAAAAAGAAGTTGAGCCATAGACCCTAACGACGTTACCCTAATTTTTTAAGTAAAAATTATGTCTTCGAAAATAGTACAAACAGTAGTACTTAATGTAAAGCGTTATTAATATAGAAGTTGAGACGGTAGACCCTAACGATGTTACCCTAATTTTTATGCAAAAAATATGTCTTCGAAAATAGTACAAAAGGGTAAATACTAAAGTAAAGCGTTATTAATAAAAAAATTGAACCATAGACCCTAACGACGTTACCCTAATTTTTTAAGTA